TTCAAGAGTGACTCTAATAAAATAATGCTAGTAATTAAAAACTAACTAGTATTAGAATTGTTATATTCTTACTAACTAAATTGTTTAGATAAAACAATTTAAACATTCTTGTATTTGAACTAAGCTACAGTGGTAAAAAAATACAAGTAAAAAAACTAGCAGGATGGACACAATGTATGGAAGACTTGTTTCTATTTAGCTCTAAAAGGATAAGATTCAAATCTATCACATCAAGAAGTAATGGAGTTGCCTTATACACAGTATGCATGCTGCTAGAATACCCCATAACAAATCATAAAAACTCGAACATATGACTGAAGTAACTCAAAACACTATCCTGGGGAGGATATAGCAACAAGGTGGCTTCATAACTCATATTCAAATAAACCTTTGTTAAATTGCTGTCCATCCATCCCACTCCTACAATAAAGTGGAGCACACTGTAATGTTACTACAGCATGGACAGCAGTGGAAACCAACCCATTGCGCTTACTCAGCAGTAGTTCCATTAACAGTCTACTTACAAAAGGAGAGAAATTTATCGATATTGCCTTTTGGAAAGGGGAAACGCATTTCCTCATTGGATTTAACATGCTAAATCCTCATTGGATTTAACATCCAGAGCCACCTGTTTGCAGTGGGAATATTTCAGAGCCTTTGGGATAAGGAGCATTTTTCTAATTAGTAGTTTCTCTATTGAGTTGTTAAAACAGATTCAGACTGAAGATAAATATCTTTCCTACAAAATTACGATCATAATCTCACTTGCCATGATTACTGTTAAATGGAATAAGACAAAACCATAAATTACACCTCAAATGCAGGTACCTTAACAGTAGGGAGCCCAGCACTCAAAAATATTTTCAAAGTCCCTGTTCCAGCATCTTTTGCTGGGACGAACCTTTTGTTCGTTTGGGGTTTTTTTGGTTGCTTTTTTTTGGGTGGGATTTTTTTCAGGTTTTTCCGGGGGGGTGGGGGTGTGGAGAGGGGTTGTGGTGCTGTTGGTTTTGGGTTTTGTTTTGTTTGTTGTTTTGTTTGGTTTTTCTTTTCTCGGCAAAGGTAAAAGCAAAACTACGCTTAGCAAGTGATGCAAATGGCAGGTTCTCCTGCAACAGCTCCAGCACCAGCACCGAGAGCCGCCAGGAGAAGTTCCCTCGACCGCAGACTCCCCGCGCCGGGAGCGGCTGCGGCGCTGGGGCTGCCGGCCGGGATGAGTAATGATGTCGGTCCGGCCGGACAACGGTAACCCTGGCAACTGTAACCTGCAATTCCTGACTAACCATTGTGGGATTTATTGTGGCAGGGGCCAAAGAGGCCAAGAGTAAAATGAAGCAGAGAACTATGGTGTCTGACACATCTAGTACCACACACTTTAATCATAGCTGGCAGAAATTAATTCAGGAGGAATTTTTGCAAGGGCCCCCCATACAGCATGTTTTGTTGTTGTTGCTGCTGCTGTTCTGGCCTAAGTGAATTTTTAAAGGTTTTCTTGATGTTTAATACTTTTTCCCTTTAATTATTCACTGCTAGAAATTTTTTTTTAAAGTCACTAACAAACATCTCAAAAGTGATATTTATTAATCAGACTATATTAAGATTTTTTTTTCCCTTTAGATGAGAAACATTCATAGTGTGTACCTGCAAGTACACATATGAGAAGGAAAAAATATTTCATATCAGACCACACCCACTACAAAGATTTTTTTTTCCCAAGCCAATACTGCCTAACTTATACAACAAATATTGGTCAGTAGGGAAACTTAATCATCATTCCAACTGTAAGAAATGTAAATCTAAAGGGACAAGCTTTGTGCATGGAATTCAATAACCTTTGCATGCCACTGATTAGTAAAGGTATCTTTTAAAACTGATTTTTCAAACAGCTTGGGTCCAGCACTTGGTATCCTGCAGCAAACAGCAATCAATGAACTGTGATCTAACCAGCCAAAGTAAGCAATCAAAATCTATTTGCCTCAGATAAGCACTTACTAGGCTGTAGTAGTTTTCTGTACTAAGGTACCATTGCTGACATCAGACAACTTAGTGGACATAGAGGTCACCAAAAACAACACATCTCCTTCCTGCAGTTCTTGTCGAACAAGAACTTGTATTTCCCCAGGGGATTTACAATGGCACCTTTATTTTAACAGTATTGCATCAAAACAGAGGTTCATGTAAATTGTGCTTTGAGGAATTCCTTGCAAGGTAAGATTAACATAACCTACAGCACTCTTCGTACTATTTTTAGCATTAACTACTTCCTACTGAAATATTTATGCCGAGACACCTTTGTAGATAACTCTTAGTGGGAAAATCAGTTTCTGTTTTGACAAAAATTATCCATTTTAACTAGTTCCAGGAGATTTCTTGGAAGACTGCTGAACTGGAAAGAAGGTAGCCTGAAAAATAATTTCTTTAACTACCTTTGAAATTAAGTGTCTTTAGACACAGAAAATAATGCACTGTCTCTTTTAAACTCTCAACCTATCGCTTTCCTTTACTTACACTTCCCATCTGTCAACAAGTGCTTGTAATTTTATTACACTGTCCTGTAGTTTATGCAGAGTTGGTATTATTTTACAGAGTTCTGTTAATGGACTGGATAAATGGTAATGCTATTTAAACTAGTCTCCTGCTCCAGCAAACACAGCTGCAACTGTACTACTATTTCTAGGCAAACATCTTGACCTGAACATGCAGTGCTCTCTCAACCCGTCCAAAGAGAAATTGGAGCAGACAGCAAAGGGAAAGCATAGCCGGCCGCTGGCGGCAACCAACTGTGTCAAATCATAATTCATACACAGCGTACCCTCTTTCTTTTATATTGCATTTAGGCTACACAACAAGCATATGTGCTTCTTCACCTGGCATCTCATTTACAGCCAAGGGTCAAATGGTAATTATTATTCACAGAAGCTCAACAGTATGTTGAAACCTCGCAGTACACACATTGTTTGATTAGCTGTTAAATGCCAAAAATAAATACTAAATCCAAAGCATAGTATACATTTTATTAATCATGTTTAGAGAACTTTAACTCTCCTCAGAAAAATATTTATTTGGATGTAAATACATCTAAGCATATACAATGATACATGTAAAAAAATAAAATAATGTTATACTCTTCAAAGTGATCAAGCCACATATTTTCTGAAAACTGACCAAGAACTTTTAGCTAGCATCAATACCTTTGTTGGCCTGACATTTTTTCAATTACAAATTTAGCACTAAGCAGCTGTAGATTTTCAGTTTAATTCATATTTTCTTTTAAACATGAATACATTATAACCAGACATTCACTTTCATGGTCTGATCAACAATAACCCTTAGGCAGAGGAAATTTAATACTGTGAAGCCAGAGATCTCTTACTTTCCACCATATATGCTATGAGCAGTTGTGTGCTTTATGTCAAAGGACATTATAGATTTAAGACTAGCATCTATCAAATAAACAATTCTGAAATAAATATATTCAAATATGATTTTGCCTGAAGTGTGTATCCGTTTTTTGCCTGCAAATTAGGGCTCATTTCTATTTATATGAATCTAGATAACAACCATTACACTATAGGTGAAATAATAAAATGATCATAAATCTCTTTCATATTCTTTTCTGATGGAAGTAATTTCTTTCTCATGGCTGAGGGAAATTATAAAAGACTAAACTGTTAATACATAATACCACATATGAATATATTATAACATTATAGCACAGCAAAATATTTTTGTTTGTCAGGACAAAAGCCTTCAGCAGCTTTTTGGCCTCATCATTTAACAACTCACTGAATTTACAGCGAAGTTCTGGAAACAAAGCATACATCCAAAGCAAATGAATGAAATAAAATACACAGAACTAAACGTTTATAATAATAAGAGTAACTCCCAGTTTGCCATTTTATGTTGCTATGAGAAGGGAGAAAAGAACTATTGTTTCATAGTATTAAAACAAAAATCAACTCCTAAAAATAAAAGCTTCATTATACCATTTTTTCTCAAACATATTTCCATATACTAAAGTGGAAGCAAATAAGCGGAATCACAATTTCCTCCACCTTCACGTCTCTTTTTCCAAGCACACAAGGGATGAAACTCAATATAACCAGCAATTTCAACAGCAGAAATCTCACCTGAAGTCTAAAGCAATGTGTCAAACACGTATCTAATTACAACAGGGTTGAATTTGTACAAAAGCCTACTTAAGCATGTCATGTTGTATCCCTTCAATACCACATAATGTAACCTAAAAGTACCTTAAAATTTATTTAGTTAAAATAAACCAGGATCCAAACTTTATTCCACATTTCAACTGCAACAGAATTAAGTGGCTTCTTAGAAAGGACAATGGGCCAAAATATTTTTTAAAAAAATGTTGCTAAAACATTATCAAACCAAAGAATACAATCAAAACAAAAAAGCCATTACCCAATTTGATGTTATTTCTATTTAAGGTAAAGAATTTCATAGTTTTTTCTTCTCAGAGCTCAAGTTACTACCTTTGTTTTCTTTGTGATGGGACATAGGAGAGAGTTCTCCACACACCTAGCATTTGCCAATGCTATAATTTTTATAGTAAGTGTGTACAGCCACAAAAGCAGAACATCACAAAACCAAAATGCTTACACAGTGCTGCATCTCTGGGTCAGAATTTCCACAGGCATTTTTATTTCTTTTAACACAGAAACAAATCAAAACAAAACAAAAGCCAAAACCAACCAACCAAAAAACAGTAGAAAAGGAAAGTATTCTTTCAGCAGAACTTCCTTAAAGAAGTGGAAATTGATGATAATACTTTGTCTCATACAACTATCAGTATCTGACACAGAAGTAAAATAAAATATAAAAAAGTCTTGCAAAGCAGTACTCAGCTTAAACAAAACACCAATATTCCAAGATGCATTTCAGCCCATTTGAGGCAAAAGACAAAAAACCCAATGCAAGACAGAATAACAGACCAAATCCAAACGTTCCCAAACAACAGTTATCGGGCTATGTCTACTTACAGCCTGTATAACTTCGGCGTCCCCAGAAAGAGCAGTTCAGAAAGCAACTGGAGGTTATTTCTGTTTAGGCGCCTTTAGAAAGAAAAAGAAATAGTTGTGTTAAATTACAAATGCTACAGAGCAATGCAATGCAACCACTTTGAGTAGGCATCCCAGTGATGTAACAAGCTGATTTTAAAGACCAGAAAGGTCCATTAGCGGAGACATGGTCCAGCAGTAAATTTACCATGGACTAATTACATTTTCTGGTTTCCCTCTACAGACCATATTACGTATTTTATGAAAGGTTTTGAATCTCTGCAGTGTGAACCAATCACTAAGTCAGGACCTTGTCCTGCATAAACAACCTGAAAGCTAAAAGTACAAAATCAGCAGTGTAACTTTAATTCCCTACCAACTCTGTTCCTCTTAGTATAATAAAGCAGGCAGACGTTTTGTGACCATGATGAGGTTCAAAGGAACATGTATGAAATGTATACACTTTAAGTAACAAGATAACATTATGTCTAAAGATCCATATAACCTATTTATTTAAATAAAAAAGCAAAGGAAGATGTTACAGAAATCCTGGTCAAATCAAATCCAGAAAAATCAAGATGTCACAGCTTATATTTGGCATTACAGGTTTTTGGGGGGGGAGTCTTGTGGGGGTTTTTTAATGCAGTTTTTTTCTCTATACCTGTAAATATAGGAATTTTGAGGAAGTTAAATATAATATGATTAGTTGTAACTAAGACAGTGTACAAATGAAAAACTGCAACTGAAATCTGGAAGGTACCCATTTGTCTGTTAAGTTTCTCGCTGAGCATGCTGACCAGGGTCACAGCTGCTTAAACTGAGGTGACAAGATCAAAGCCCACTGTATTATAGCCATAGACAACAGAACAACCACTGGCCAAGACAAATATATTTTATTTTCATGATCTCTTTTTTCAACATACAATGCAGATTATTATCTCTGCTGTGTGTAAGTGACAGCCCTGGAGTTTACAGTCATACCAGTCAAGAAGTCAAGCTCAAAATAGGTTTTTTGGTTGTTTTAATGCCACCTGCCATTCAAGCAAAGCAACCTACTGGAAAAAGCTGTTTTGTTCCATAAACCTTATCACAAGGCAGTTTGCAATGCACAATGCTTGTCAATACAATAATTCAGGGCATTCCTAGACACCAGTCTGCATGGGATTATCTGAGATATAGATATATATATATATATACAGATAGATAGATATATAGATATATATATATAGAGATATATATATAGATAAATATTATCCAATGGTTACACTACATACATCAATAGACTCCTACCAAGACATTCCACAAGGTGAAAAAATATGTTGGGCAGCAGTTTTGCAAAATTAAGTTTTAGAATTTCATACAGGTTAAGATTTTCCTGTTTGTTAGTCTTAGGGCTGAATTTAAATAATTAAGTCTATTTAGCCTCTCAGGGCTTGTTTTGCATAAACATTGTTCCACATAAAGGTCTTTCCAGTTTAAAGATTTTTTTCATGACTTCCCATATAGATACACACAGACATTCAAAAAACCAATTTTACATAGCTCCATGGTTTAGTGAACTTAGCTATTGCTCCCTTAAAGCTCAGTGTGACTACTGATGAGAGTAAAGTAATCTTAGAAATATTTTTTTGTACACACAGATCTGTTCACAGATTTCAAACCATTAGCAAACAGTCAGCTTTTTGAGTTCTAGATATCCATAATTATCCAGTCTTAATGTCAGGTTCCTTCTTGTTAGTCAAGCGTCAGAAATTCTGATTTCTTTAAGCAGAAGAAATCTAAATCATGCATATAGAGATTAAAAGAGAATTTAGAGTGAAAAAACTGAAAAGGAAGGACTACACTACTGGGATAAGAGAGACGAGTGATAATGCAGCTAAGTAAGTAGGAAAAAAAAATCCGAACTGTGATCTTGTAAATCACATTTCCAAATCAGTCAAAAGAAAATTTTCCATATAAATGAAAGATAGAGCTATAAATAAGTTAATGGCTAGTGGAAGACTTCTGATTTGAACACTACTTAAGAAGAAAACCTTACCTACATAAAAGCAAAAAAGTGATATATTTTGGTGTTTGTGGATGAGGTCATTTAAAAATAGAAATTTTCTGACCTTTAGTAAACTTGTATATGAATGTATATACTAAGACCACAAAACTGAAAAAGAAAGTTCTGTCAAAGTAACAGTTACATTTGTGATCCAAAGATATTGTGAAAATGAAATTAAGAAATACTAAACCTGAACAAATTAAATAAAAAGAAAAATAAAATTCATTCACTGCTTCTTTTAGCAAAATAGAGACTTAAACCTCTAAGTACACGATTACAGATCCACAATAACATGGAAAAACATGCAGGGTAAAAATTTGGTAAGTTAGTCTTCAAATAGCTGTTCAGGACAAAAACATCTGTTGGTATTTCTTAGGAACTCTATCAGGTTTGGGTGCTAGACAAAAATGGTGAGTTGTAACTGAAAGGGCAATAAATTTACTCAGTATCTGTTATTTTGTGGAAGTTCTGTGTAATACAAAAAAGGCACTATAGTACAATGATCGAGTTCATCAGGCAAGCTGCCTTTCACTAAATGCTACAAGAGTCTTACAGGAGCACACAGCATCACTCCAAAAGATTCTTTACAGGCAAAACACTTGCTCTAATATAAAAAGAGTTAATACCTTAGATCAGGAGTTTCTGGTATTACCTGCAGTTCACATGGCCCACACAACTGAGTATACCATTAAAATACTGATGCATGTGCTGCTGTGCAGACTTTCAAATCTAAGTTCTGGACAATAAATCAAGTTCCATTAAACTAGCAATAAACAGCACTATCCTCACATCTCAACAGTTTCTACCAAGTGAGCTTGGCACTTTAAATTAGTGTTTCAACACACATTTTTATTTTGCCTTTTACAAAATTAAAATGCTTGTTCTTTGAACACTAAGTGAATTAAGGGAATACACAAGTTAAATTACTGATCTTTTGTGAATCCTGTATTTTGTAGCTTTTACTTGGAATAATTTCATCCCACTCACTGAAGTTTCTTTTAGAACTAAGCTTTCTCTACCAAAAATTTGACCATTCTTTATTTATTGCCTGTGATTAAGAACATAAAACATTACTAATTTTCATGAAGGCAATAACAGGAAATATGTCCTTTTCCATACTTCAGAAAGAGGTTTCAGCTATTCTTTACATCTAATAAGTTACAGCAGATGCTTTTAAAGGGGTCAATTTGATGTTTTAAAGTTTCCTATAAGGAGATTTTATGAACTTCACTGAAATAAATTTTTCAGGACTACAGTAGATAGTTCTGTCTAAAAAAATTGTTATGAAACTACATGTATGTGAATGGGAAAAAGGATGCAGAACAAATCTGAAACACACAGCCTAATACCACAGGACTCAACAGCTTCCCATTCAACAGTCACTATGAAGAGTTTCCGATCTTTGGACAGAGTCACACGAGGAGTCCAGAAAATACATTACTGTTTTAAAATGGTTCACTAATATACATGGTTCCCCAACAGTTCAACTTTTTCAGGTGACCCCATGCTTAATTTTATCTGAAATAACAACAGTTATCCAGAACACACAAATGCAGTGGAACAAGAGTGACTGAGAAAGACATGATCCTCTTTCTCCATGGAGCTGGAACTCGAGGTAAGCACAGATGGACCACAGGATCCAAGAGTGCAGACTGTAAAGAACTACAGCCACTGCAGACTAAAAACAATCAGAAACACTCCATCACATTTTATTTCAATGTGTGTTGGCAGACACCTCACCACAGCTACCTAGCAGGCAGAGTTTCCCCTGAGGCAATGCGAGAAATTTCAGTTTCACGAATTGAACTGGTATCCCAGAACTGGCAGGAAGTTCAAGGTGAAGCATTGAAGAAACAGCAAAGATATATTCCACACTGCTACTATTCAGTTTTCCAAATGAGCTATAAATATTTGTGTTTTTCAGGCAGAGGCAAAGAGCTCAGAAGAGACAAAGTGTTAGTGGTGTGAGCAACAGAAAGTGTACTGGAGAATTTCTTCTAATATTGCAATAACTTGGACTGTGAAGTCCATTTGTAGTGTCTAAAATTAAATGGATGAGGGTCCAATGTCATATAATTCTTTCAATTAAAAAAAAAAACCCTGAGGCATAGCTGCAACTAAAGTATATATCACTTTTTCCTTCTGTTGCTGAACGTCTCTTTAGGAAGAAAGAGATTGGGCAAACTGACACCCTGACACAGGTAAATTTTTGAGTTCTTCACGACTAATTCAAGCAAAGTCCACATACTATCTAGAGTACACAAAGTATTTCACATACCTCAGCTTAAAGCTCCCAGAGCTCAGTCTTCTAAACACAATAAAGACTGGAAAAGCATCTTCAAAGTGAAATGATGGAAGGAGTATACAGAAGGGTCAATTTAAAGACAAAGAATGAAAATCTTTGACAAGTGAGGGGGAGAAAATACTCTTTAAAGGAAGCTCAATACCAACAGGCAGATAAGAAATAAGTACAGACAAACAGTAAGTTACACTGTGAAGGAAGCAACAGTAAGGTAAGCAAAGAAAAGGGGCTTGATTTGAACTACTGGTTCAAGAGAACAGACTATCTTAGCTGAAATTGGTACATATCTGAATTTTACTTGTCTTCTGCATGCAGCCAGAGGATACCTAGAGGATGACAGAGAGAGAGGTACACTGCAGGGAGAGCACATTATGGTCCCAGTAACAACGTATCTAACCCACTGAGGTCTGGCCATGCCACAAATCTGTTCTGATATCTCTCTCAAGTTTTCATACCACAATAACTATGATCCAGTTGCAATCACGCATGAGGGCAGAAGGGAGAAAAAAAAAAATCTTAATTATACTTTGTACAATGTAATCATCTGCAATTGCTATAGTTCACATGCAGGTCTCTGTTTCACAGACTTGTTACAGCCTTCACTGTAACTTGTTTCTGATCCTATGGTATCAGCTACATACAGCCACAGAAGCTGTATGAGACTATAGAGCCTCTGTGGGCAATTGAGCTGTTCCAGTGCTTGAC